TGGTTACAGGTTTGGAAGGAAGCTCAAAAGCTTTTAGATGGAAAAGGCAAGCAAGCTGAACAGCATAATCCAGTATTCTGGCTGGGGAGATGGAGTGTGTTTCTCCATCGTGCACTCAGTGCATGTGCCACATATCTCGGCCCCAGCACAACCAAATCCCTGACTGCCCACAACTCCCCCTGGACAGCCCCTGTCAAACAGTTCAGAGTAGAGATTTGGGGCCTGTTTCAAAGGGACAGCACCACACCGCTCCAGCGTAGCCTGACTGTCCCATCCGCAGCCCCACTGAGCATTTGAGACTTTCCCATTGTGTGCACCTCACGCCTTGATGTGAGGTTTGTGTGGTTAGAAAATTTGGCCACCTGACCAAGTGTTCATGGGGTGTATTTTGTGCAAGCAGCTGCTGGAGGAAGGGGTGTTACTTAGAGCGAGACGGCTGAGCAGAATCTGCTGAAAATACTTTGTAGTCAGCTTTGTGTCTCCCCCACCCATTTAATTAGCGGTTAGTGGAGGAGCAGTATTTTTTTTCCTGCTGCATCTAAAATAACTGTTTGGTTTGTGCAGTGCTTTCACCTCTGAACAGTTGGTGAGGCTGCAGGTTCAGAGAAAACACTGGCAACCTGCTATTCTTCCAAACCTGCTCCCTCAGCACACAAATCCCACACAGAGGAGTGAATCTTGAAGATTAGTTAATTTTTATTAGGGAGAAGCCCATCAAACTAAACTCACAAAAGTATCCTGCATGTATGTCAATGCAGCAGTGCAGGAGACCCATCAGCACACAGGGCTAGGGCCTCACTGCACCTTGGGCTGGGGGAGGGAGGAGATACCTATCTGTGCACACAGTGCTTTGATGTTTGCTGAGAAAAGGAGGGAGCAGAAGCAGGGAGAAACCAGCCTCCTTCAAAGGTGCACTTTGTCATCAGAACCTCTTGTCATCCCACTCTTCACTGTGCTGTGAACATAGGCTGGATGTTGCTTGCAGATTTTCATGATGACCGAGCAGCTTTCCCCATTGCTGTCTGAATCTCTGGTAAGTGCAGTGAGAAGCTGCAGCACCCAGAGTCTGACCAGCCTTTGCTCCCATCCTGCCCCGGTGAACGGAGCGCTCTGCCCAGTGGTTGCCTGCAGCAAGGTCTCTCCATGAGGGGTTTCTTCCTTTTGCCACTTTTCTTGAGCAGGAGGATTCAAAGCTGAGCTGGGTCTGGGGCTGGAAGGCAGCAGCAGGGCTCAGCCTACAGGCAGCTGGAAGCCCAGTCTAGGCTCAGGAGGGATGGGTGGAGGTGTGCAGCTGGTTTACACATCCCACCTCAGAGCACGTGCTGTTGTTTGAGCATCGTTATGGGGGAGCTGGTTAGTTGTTTTTCTCCCCTGCTGTTTGTAAGTGCATCATGGGGTTCCTGCAGTGCTCTGCTTTTGAAGATCCCAGTCTCTGTTGCAGCCCGTGCTCCCTGCTCGTTGCTTAGGCAGCAGAGGCAATGAGCTGTCCCCATAAGGGACAGAGAGCAAAGTGGGTCTCATCACCACTGGATCCTCTGATGTTTCCATTTAGCTCAATAAGAGGAAGAGCTCATTGCCAGTAATACAAATTTATTTAGATTGGATACTTTGGAAGAATTTGTTGCTACTTTCTTTAGAGAATTATTTACACTATAATGTGGATCTGACTCCATTTACAGAGTTGTCATTCCCACCCACCCCAGCTCTTTGGATAGTATTTTTAATGCAGTTTGACTCAGATGCATTCAGTGTGAAGCTTTTTCCCCTATACAAATAATTGCAGTTCCTTTTGACCCCATTTTTCTACTGATCACCATTTTATTGCTGTCATACAGTCCAAACAATGCTGTAAACTTGACTAAAGCATCTGCTTCTGGGACTGGGTGTTTATTACTAAGAAAAGACATTTGTGACATAAAACCATCCACCTTACTTCTTCTGCAACGGTTTCGCTTTGAGATTTTTTTTCCTTTTTTGATATTTCAAATAATTCCTGTTCATTTGTCAAAGCTACGTCAAAACTGGCCCAAGGTAGGGGGATGGACAGTAAAAACTTTTCCCACTGATTGTACTTGCTGGGGTTTATGGGGAAATGATTCTATGATTCTATCTTACTCTGATTTGGATAAGGCAGGGAATTGTCACTGATGATCTAGATTGTTGCATGAGCATCTGGACTGCTGTGGTTGTCTGAATGAGGGCTGATTTTCATGTATGAATCTTTCCCGTCAGTAGAAAGTCCCTCCATCACTCTCACACAAAAAGAGATACCTCTACATTTGGCAATGTTGTGTTATTACTGGGAGCTGAACTTCAGCTGCTTCTCCTGAGTCAGATTTGGACCTCGCGAGTTTGGGAGACGCTTCCTGAAATTCCTTGTTTACAAAGTAGTAACAAATAGCATCCAGGCAGCAGTTCGTGTTGGCAAGGACTGAGGCAAGGTGAACAAAGTCATTAACCTTCTGTATCGCAGGGCAACTGGAGCTGAAGGAGTCCAGTAGAAAGCGAAGGAGATGCCCAGAGTAAACAGGCAAAAAACATACGATAAACACAGCCATGTTTGCTGTCACGATGTAGACAGCCTTCCTGATTAACCTTTCCTCGTGGCAGTTTTCGTTCTTCATTCTCATGAGCTCTGCAATGACTTGTGTGGAGCAGTAAATCACGACGATCAGTGGTATGAAGAACCCTCCGATAATAGCACACAGCGTGATGACAGAGGGGTTGACAGAAGATTTCTCAAAGCAAAAATCATCATGCTCTCGGTTTTCCAGCGTTTTAATGAGGGAAATCACACAGATGATGACTATCCAAAGAAATCCAGATGTAAAAGCTGCCTGCAGTGGTGACCGCAGTGCTCTGGCTTTCAAGGGATACTTGATAGCCACGTACCGGTCGGCTGCTACAACAGTGATGATACCGATGCTCATTAAGCGGTTTATGAAATAGCCACCTTCCAGAATCAGGCACCATCTGTCTACCTTCATCTGTTGGAACTGGGATAATGTTTTAAAAGGTAAAGTGAAGAGCAGTAAGCAGTCAGCCACAGCCAGGTTGACCATGTATACTCTGGTTTCCGTCCACTTGCTGAGCTTGCAGCAGAACACCCATAGCGCCAATACGTTCAGCAAAACGCCCAACAGCAATACTGGGATGTAAACACACAACTGGACAAGTGGAAAGTTTTCGTCAGCTGTGATATTGCAGCTGCTCTGGTTCATTTTGGAGATATTAAGAGGCACAGTTCCTGGAAAAGCAGATTATATTTTTTAGAAGCTAGACTATGACTGAATCGGTGATTAATTCAGATAGTACTTCATGGGCCTCAGAGATTTACCAGCAGTGAAAATGAGACAGAGCAGATGATACTGCAGAGCAGAACTGTCTACGGGGCACCTGGTGGGAAGAGATAAGATGGGACATGAGCCTGGTCAGTTGTGGAGGGGGCAAAAAGCATCTCTCACTGCATTCCATACAAGGCGAATGGCTAGCAGAGGGCAAGGCTGGAAAATGACTGCTTCTGTTTTAGGCCAGACTCAGATGAGCCAGAAGCAGGTATTCTGCAGCTGGAAGTTATGTGAACTGTTACAGCTCGTTTGGCAATGGGAAGGGGATGCCTAAACTTGGGTCTCATCCCTCCCATCATAGTGGTGCTCACAAGAAGCCAGCCAGCATCCTCACTGCTCAGAATGCTCTGGGAGACGTGCTGCAAAGAGACAGCTGTCCTCTCCTTCGATCCTGTGCTGTCATCACTTCTTATTAGTGAAAAGAGCCATTATTCATCTATCTCTCATTATTTTAGCTGCCATCGAGTACTATCTTTAGTCATAACATTTTGTAGTTTGCGGCAAGAATCAGAGATAGGTCTGTGGGCTGCAGGCTGTCTTTCAAGGATTGTGAAAGTTGGTCCTAATCTCTGAAGTAACAGAGCAATCTGCCAAAGTGCAAGAAAAAAAAAGGCATGGCAAGAGATGCGATCAGCCACCATGTAAAATACAATGGTGAACTGAACATGATCTGGTGGGTGTTTTTTCACCCAAAGGGCCATGCTGCTTCTTGCCTTCCTGCTTTGGAAGAGTTAATGCAGGTTCATATTCTGTGCTGCCCTGTGAGACATGGCCACAAAAACCCTGGGAGGTATGAGATGTGAGGGAAACATGGCTCTGTGTGTGCAGATTCTCTGGGCTCCAAGCATTCTGGCTAAGCCATCTCTAGGGCAGTGCTGCAGCCTCTGCGGGAGCTGCAGCTCTCAACCAGTTTTGAAAATCATTCTGCCAAGTAACCCTGCTGTGAGGGAACGTGCACTGCGGGTACCTGCAGCAGCTCTGTGTTTTGGATACAGGGAACATTTTGAGACCAGAAGAAATAAGGGAAATGGGTAAATTGTAATAGACAATGGGGAGATTTAGCAAAGGTGGAGGCTACCCTTTAGCATCTACAGCATGTCTACTGTGGCTAGTATCAAAACGAGATTTGAAAATGCACAAGCTCCATTCCTCTCCCAGTTTCTCCACCACCATTTGGGTATCCCACCATAGATGGAGAAAGGCAATGCCTCACAGAGCTCCAGTAACCGTGCCAACAAATAACCAGGATGGATTACCTGCTCGCTCGTTGTCCTTTGAGAGGTCGAACGTTCCTCCAGTCTGGCTGTGGTGCAGCGTGCAGTGTGCTGAGCTCTCCCAGCATGTGAGGTGCTCTGTGATGACCACTTGAAGGTGGTTGTGGCAGCAACAATGCTGGTGGAGGAAGCATCCCCACCCCTCCTCAATGCATTTCCCCGGGGCAGAGCTTCCTCTGCTGCTGTCGCTGCCATGGCTCACACCACCCCCTATTGACTGAGGAGCCCATGTAGTAGCCCTGTGGTAAGGTGAAACGTTCATAAGCCATGTAGTCCTGCAGACGTTCCTCTGGCGATGGAGTGACTTTGGGTTTTTCCTTCAATTCACTTCCAGTGCCCAATGCCTCGCTGGCATCCATCAACCTTTCTCGCCCAACAGGCTGTGCGCGCTGCCCGAAGAGAACGTGTTGTCCTGGAGGGTCCCTGAGATCCTCTCTCTGCTGCCTGCTGCTCCCTGTGCTGAGCCCCAGGATGGAGCAGCCTTGGTGGACTCCTGGTCCCGTTCACCCAGCTGTGGGAGTGCTGAAGGCTAAGGTTTGCAGACAGTTTTGTGTTTTTCGTAAGTGTGTTTCAGTCTGAATCACAGTAATACTCTTCTCTTCCACAGTTCTTGTCAACCAGTAATTCTGAGAAAACCTGGCACGGTGACCCTTTGACCCCCAGAATTTACATCTGCCCTGTGGTGCAGGCACCTCTTGGCCAGGGGCTCCATGACAGCCATCCACTGCAAGTCCACCTACTCAGGTGAGGGGCTCAGCAAGCTCAGAGGTCCTGTTATCAGTACCTTGAGTTGCTGTTTTGGGCAAACCCTTCCAACTTTCTGCTTCTAAGATCTTGAGACCTGCTTCCAGGTCAAAGAGTAGCTTCTGGAGTATTTGTGCACTGTCTGTCTATGCATTGCAAATCAGCCTCTGAGATTTACACCTTGCTACTGTATTGTTGTAATAGAGCTTGGCTTAAATACTTCTCCTGTGGCTTCCCATTCTCCCTCTTTGCAGATCTTACAAACAGTTGTCGACCTATTAGTACACCCAGCTATTTGATCCCTAAATGGCATCATTTCCATGTCACTTTTGTTGTTTGTTTCAACAGCAGCACTGGGTGATTTGCTCCCTTCTGCTTGTGATTCGTATGTGTAAGCAGCTTTTTTGTTTAAGGAGAGAATGTCTCCTGTTTAAATACCTATCACCTTGATTTATTGCTGAGAGCTATTTGATCTTTACACTTCCTGAGCTCTAAGACTTATTTCTGTACTGAACAATCACTTTTTCCTTCCTCCATAAGCTCTGCCTGGTTTCTGACTTGAAGCTGATCCGTAGCCAAACAGAGCCCTCCCCAGGGTGCTCACCCATGCTTCTGGTACAGCTCTGCTAGCTCAGGTGTGCAAGGCCTGGCACATGGCAGCAGGACAGGGCCTGGGGAAAGGTGAGGGAGGTACCAGCATCCCTTCCCCACATGCAGCAGGACACTGCATTGCCCTGCTGCATTCAGGCTCTGCAAGCTTCTTGCCCAGGGTCTTTCTTTCTCTGATTTTCTGATGGGAAGAGGAGACATTGCAACAGTCGGTGTTGATCAAAATGAAACTAGGGTTTGGGAGCAGAATGCATCGGTGCTATTTTTAGCATGGGAAGCCTGTGAAACAGCAGTGTTAATTGCATCAGCCCCATCTCATGAGTGACCCTGGCTGCTGCCTGCTTCCCCTTTCTCTGTCCTCAGAGCCACACAGGAACCAACGGTGGCAGATAACACACTCACAGGCTGCTTTGTGCTGTAACCCAGCTTTGACCCTCCAGCCACACCAACATTGAGCACGAACACTGAAAGGTTCAGCTTGTTTCTCTCCATCCCTTGGAAACTGCCGAGCAATGCTTGTGTTTGGATGTTCAAATGTTAGTGCGATTAACCTTTTGTTTGAAATAGCAATGTTCATGCACCTCACTTTGTGCACCTGCTGGGGACACAGGTATTTAGGTAGGGTTGGTTCCAAACAACGTGTGGTGTGCACAAACAGGTGCAGTGCCCTGCAAAACTAAGGGATCCTGAATGCGGTAGGTGTCTCAGTGAATGCAGATGTCAGAATTAGTGGCTATAAATCATAGAATCATAGAATCCTTAGTGTTGGAAGGGACCTTTAAAGATCGCCTAATCCAACTTCCCTGCACTAATAGGGGCATCCATCAGGTTGCCCAGGGGCCTTGCCTTGAGAGTCTCCAGAGTCAGGGCATCCACCGTATCTCTGGGCGACCTGTTCCTGTGTCTCACCACCCTTACTGTAAGACTTTTTCCTTATATGCAACCTAAATCTCCTCCCCTTTAAGCTTGAAACCATTTCCCCTTGTTTTATCACCACAGACCCTGCTACAGAGTCTGTTCCCTTCTTTCCCGTATCTCCCCTTTAGATACTGGCAGGCCACTATCAGGTCACCTCACAGCCTTCTCCTCTCCAGGTTGCACAGCCCCAGCTCTCTCAGTCTGTCCTCATAGGAGAGGTGTTCCATCCCTTGGATCATTTCTGTGGCCATCCTCTGGATGTGCTCCAACAGGTTCATGTCTCTCCTGTACAGAGAACTTCATGGATAGGAGGGTCTGGATGAACTGAGAGCCATCAGTTGTGCAGAGGCCGTGAAGCCAACCCTGGCTGGACCTGGTGGGATCAGAGCCAGCCCAAATTTCCTATGTGCATCCACCTATTCTTCCCCCAGCCCTGTCCCTCCCATCCGTCTCCTCACCTCCTACTTTGGCCCCCTTTGGTAACCTTTTAGGAAAGAGACAGCAATGTAGAAGTGCAGTGGACCACTGCAATTTTCAAAGAAATTTTAAAATGTATTTAAAGGCGGTGTGTTGTCTAACAGGGTCTAACTCACATGCAAAAGCAACGTGTGACGTGGCAGGAAAGGGTAGAGAACCCACATCTGATATCAGGAGGCCTTTCCCAGTAAAGCCTGAACAAAGGGCTCATGCTGACTTTAGCAGACATCGCCTTATAGAGTAAGAGTGGTTTGTACACTTTTTCCACTGATTCTATCTTCTTTTCATTCTAGCAAAAGTTACTTTTTGTACTGACAGGTACAGTGCCAGTTACAAGCCTCTTTAGATTTTACAAAAAGCTTAGCAAAGTGCCAGCCCTGCTTGTCAGAGCTACTGAAAGGCTGTGGCTGCTGCTTCCTGCTGTCATTACTCAGATTCCTGTGCTGGGAGATGGCAAAGATTTGTGTATCACCACATTATCATTTTCATGAATTGCTCCTCCAGTGAACACCATGCTGTAGGATGGTCAGTACCCAGAAGACAGCAGTGTGCCATGCAATGTAGATGCAGCCCTGGTCACTCCACAAAGAGTTTTCAGAGGAAGCCTGATGTGGGTGGGCTTTGCGAGACCTTTCTGTGGAAGTTGTGGTAGAGCCGTGGCTGAAGGCTTCTCAGAACTGCCCTGCGTGATGAAACGTCGTTTTGGTTTTGGGAAGTCCCATCATGAGACTGGGATGACTTTGGCAGATACGATCTTTGGATTTTCCAAGGGTGTATTTTGGTTTATTTCAGGACCCAGCTGACAGAGTCCCTCAGGAGTTAGTTCTAAAGGACAGAGGAGTCCAGGAAGGCTAGATATTCTTCTGGAACGAAATCTGGAATGCACAGGAGCAGGCTGTCCCTTTGTGTCAAAAATGAGTGAGTGCAGAAGAAGGCCATCCTGGCTGAGCACAGAGATACTGAGCAGAATGAAGTCCTTATAATCCATGGGGAGGTAACTTGTGACCTACTACACCACTTGAGCACGCACAGACCTGTGGGGCCAGATGGGATCCCCTTAGGGCAGTATGTCCAGCCCATGGCTCACAGCCCACATGAGGCCCAGCACAGCCCGTCCTGTGGCCGCCCTCAACCCCACACCGTCATGGCAGCAGCTCTGCCCTCCAATTGGCACGATCTGGCCCCAAGCATGCACCCATAGCTCAGCAACAACATGCGTCCTACCAGCACTGTCTGGGCTCAAATCAGAGCACAGGGAGGGCACAGAGCAGTGCTAGCCCAAGTGACAGCAAATAATTGTTTGCATTTTGATACACTGGTTAAGCACAGTCCTGAGAATAGAGAAAAATATGCAACCGTGCTTTCCATTCTGATACAGGAATTTGAGAATAGGTTTCAAGATTGCTGAAAAAAATCTTCGATTTTTTGATATATTCACAATTCTATTTTCAATTGATATAAATACATTACCTGTGAATTTTCAAATGGAATGTATAGAGTTGCAATCAGACATTCAACTCAATGAAAAATCTGGTCATGTCTCCTCTGGACTTGGAGGAGATCTCTCCATGAAAGTGCTTTGAGGAGTGTGGCATGCAGGCTCCTGTTCATTGCTGGTGACAATGCATGGCTGACGGTGATGACTGTGATGAAAAATAGTGTTTTGTAGCTGAGAATTTGCTTTGTCAAATAGTGTTACTGTGCTCTTCGTAGCTGTTGTTGTTTCCATGGAAATAAATAAGACTTTTGGTGCAACTTATGTATATGCAACTCAAGACAGTTCCTCTTCAGTCAGTGCAGCCCAGGCAAGCCAAAAGTTTGGACATTTGTGGACTGAAGTACAGAATGAGCTACCAGAAATGCTCACCAAGCCATGTCAGTAATTTACCAGCAGTCCTGGCCAACTGGAGAGATTGAAGTTGGTTGGAGGTTAGCTAATGCAGTGCCCATCCACAAAAGCAGGTGGAAGGATCAGGAGAACTACAGGTCAGTCAGACTGAATGTGAGCCAGCATCCTGCTGATAGCTGCAGGCACTGAGATTTTGCAAATTGGCAAGAAACTGCCACTGTACAGGCAAATCCTTTGACACAGATGTATTAGGCTTGGCATTGTACTGGAGTGGCTTTTCCCTTATTTTAATGACCAAAAATTACAGTAGTAGAAGTGGCTTTATACATTGCTGTAACAGTGCTAAGTTTCTTATGTTAAACTGCATGATATGTACAACAAAGTGCGTGGTCAAAACAATGGCTTTATCAGCTATTCTCTGTACCAGGGGGATCTCTCTATTGACGAGGAGACACCTGAACCTGTGATACAATTATTGAAGGCAATAATCTGAGCCACATTTAATTGTGAGAGCAGCAGGACAAAATTCAAGTTATTATCAAATCCCTTTCTACAGAAATGCCCATACCCAGAGCAATTGCAAGTGGTCCCATTCCCTCTGCTTCAGAACCTGTGCAGTGATTTGGTCTTAAAATCCATAGCGCACTTTCCTTTTTCTATGGTGTGACTTGATCTGTGGGTTGCTGCGACTCTTGGCTTTGGTTCATCTTAGACCTCACTGATATACAAGTGGGGAGCAGAGAGGAAAATTCCTGACTTTCCTTGGCTGCAAAGTAATAGCAGAATGCATCGAGGCAGCAGTTGGAATTGGCTAAGCATGAAAGGATCTGAATAGAAACCCTAACTTTTGAAAGCAGGTGACAAGCTCCAGCAAGTTCCGCTGCGAGTCGCAGGAGTAATGCAATGTAGATTGGTGAAAAACATAAGATGAACACACACAAATTCACAGAAATAATGTGGATTGCTTTCTGGATTAGCTTTGTCTCATGGTGGCTGCTGGCCATCTTCTTTCTGAGACATCTGATGACTTGTATGGAACAAAAAATTATGATCACTAGGGGAATAAAATACCAAAAGCAAATGGAGAATGATGTTAAATATGCAGGCTGAGTAGAATGTTTCTGAAAGCAGAAATTTTCTCTCTTTTTTTTAAAAAACATGTTCAAGTAGGAATAACCTATTTGCATTATCCAAAGAAACCCGCAGATACAGGCTGATTTCAGTGGGGATCGAAGAGTTTTTGCTTTCAGAGGGAACTTGATTGCAATGTATCGATCGATGGCAATTAGCATGATGATGAAGATGCTCATAGGACTGTTCGTAAAATGTATCATCTCTATGGCGAGACACAGCTCGTCTATGGGATGTTTGTTCTTGGTAAAATATATCAGGAAAGGCAGGGTGAAGAGCAGGGAGCAGTCTGCAAACATGAGGTTGATCATGTACACCCGGGTCTCAGTCCATCTCTTGAGTTTGCAGCAGAAGACCCAGAAGGCGATGGTGTTCAGCAGGAACCCCAAAACGAGGACTGGGATGTAGACAATCAGCTGAAATAGCATGACACGATCCTGCAACATGCTGCTGATTTCTGTGCAGTTCGACATGGTGGGCAGTCTCTGCAAGAAAAGGGTGCAGGTGACAGACCAAGCTCGGGGACAAATCCCCTGGGCCGGGTCCCATGGCAGTGCCCTCAGCCTTGGCTCCACAGCTCCTGGCTCCTCTGCACTGCGTGAGTCAGAGCTGTGGGTGGGACAGGGTGGCACACATCTCTCTTGGGGCTCTGCATGTGCACAGCAGTTGGGATTTTTGGGATGCAGACCTGCAGGGGCTCTGTGGCTCTTCACAGCAGCTAAAAAAAACAGAAGCAAACCCCTCCTGCAACTATTGTGGGACAGCAACCCATCTGCCTGCAGGCCTGGCTGGCCCACCCTACATCCACCTTCACACAGTTTTGGTAACAGCAGAGGGTCTCCAAAGCAGGATTTTGTAGTCCCTTACCTCTGCCACTTCTGTGGTTATTGGAGATCTATTGGCTCTCTTGCTTTAGGACAGCTCAAAGCAGAGCTGGGCAGCATTTCTTATTTGCTTTACTGCCAAAGCCATCCGATGTCTTGCTATGCCCATGAACCCACCCAGGACTCAGGTCCTTCCTTGGTGAACACGGCTGTAGGACAGCGCTGGTGGCTTTATTCCTGGAGCACAGTGTGTGCCATGGGCACTGCCACTCCTCCTTCTGCCTGCTGGAGATGTATGGCTTGACAACAGGAGGGGACGCCTGTCTGATCTCAGCCTTCAGTATAGGAAGCCAAAATGTTGCCAGCGCAGAAAACACAAATCCAAGATTCTAACCTACTCCTGGTGCTTCTGTAAATAGTTCAGGGCATCTGCTACTATCTGCTACCAGCAAAGACCAGGAAGGGTGAAATCAGACTCAGTCTGCAGTTACAGAGAAGCATGAAAAGAAAACAATCAGATTCCTGTCATCTGTTATAGATACATTGCCTTATAAGTCAGTGGCTTTTAAGCCCTACTATCTAAACTGTGGAGAAACAGTCTGACTGCATGAACTACATGGATCATTTTTAGTGTCCAAAACTGGACACTAAACTGGAAGCTGGATCCGACAATGCCAGAAGAAAGCTCAGCACCTGCCCCAGTACCAGAGTTGGGGTGGTATTACAGAGATACAACTTTCAGAACGGAATTTATGGAAGGGCTGACATGCAGCCAGTGTCCTGGCTCCTGTGAGCTTCCAGCATCCCAGGTTCTTGGCTGCACAATGCTACCATCCACCCTAGAGCTGTTCCCTGCCAGCCTACTGTCACCATCCTGCACTAGAAATGCTGCTTTCTGCTTGCCAATCACTGTCCCACCTAGCAGCCGAGCCCCGCGAATCCCCCATGTGAGTGCTGAGCCCACAGCAATCCCCTGGTCCCATGCCTCAGTGTGCCCACAGCAGGGTGTCCCCTCACAGAAGGTGCATGGAGAGGAGTGGTACATGGCCACAACATGGGGTGAAGACCTCCCTGGATAGCACATGTGGCTGCCAAACAGCAGAGCACATCAGTGAAGGGTAGGAGGAGAGTGAGGCACCTCCGTACCACTGCTACCAAGTGGGGAGCCCTGGGCAGTGCTTTGTGAAGGAGCTCAGGAAACAGAGCACACTGCCACACAACCATGCAAAAAGAATTAAAAATTACCTGCTTCTTGTGGGGCTGTCCTCGGGTCAGGTCCTTGGGCAGGTCACAGTTATTCAGGAGATGCCAGGGCTGTGGGTGCTGTGCAGGGTGATGCTGAGTGGGGTGATGCTGTGCTGAGCAAAGCTGCTCAGGAGCCTGCTGCTGATGGCTCGGGAGCACTGAAGAACGGTAATGAACTCTTGTTCCCCAAAATTGCTTATTTACCACCTCCTCTTTAGGACGGCTGAGTCTCTGGTGCCCTCTGTTGTTCCTCTCCCATCAGCTCAGTGACCACCATCCGTTTTTGCACACAACCTGCTCTCCCTCTGCTACCATGCACACAAACGAGCAATTAAAATTTCATATTTTCAGTGGTTTGAAAACAAATCCTTTCTAAAATAAAACCCACAATGGTTGCAAATTGCCCATTTGGCAGCAGAAGGACCCCCTGGGAGCTCAGCACACCATGGTGCCTTGGGTGTGGTTGCAGAGTAAGCAGAGGGAAGGGCAGTGGCTTTTCCTGAGGGGCACATCAGTGCTTGTGCACCTGCAAAGGTAGGCCCAGAGCAAGGGTCCTGGCATGTTGCTCTTTGTTGTTTTTTGTTTGTTTGTTTGTTTTTGCAAGATGGGGGCATATGTGGTGGTCCTGCTTGTCCTCTACGTGGTGCTTCTTTACCATGGCTCATCAGTGTGATGGGAAAAGCCACACCAGAAATGGCCAACCAGGCACAGGTAGGAGGCACTGGCACAGAGGGGAGAGTTCTGTGGGTGTCAGGAGGTGGGGAAATTGTGTAAATGGGCAGGGAGGGCTCAGGACATAGTAGGACTCTCTCACAGCAATTTCTGGTGCTCTGCTCTCTTCAGGAAGTGCCTGGACAGCACTTGGCAGCAGTTACTGAGATTTGTCAGTATTTAGAAAGAAAAAAGCCCTTTCCTAGGCAGCAAAGAAGAACAGGGGATCATCCCCCACCCTGTCTCCCCCCTTGTTCTCCCCACTGGCTTTTCTGAACTGCTTACTCATAAAATGCATTATAGCCATGGAAATGTGAGAGGTGACAGTGTGGGCAGGCTGTGGAAACCCAGCTGTGTCCAGTTGTGTCCAGCTGTGTGATGCTACCCCAAGCCTGCACTGCTGCCAGCAGGGCAAACCTGGGGTCCAGCCTGGCACCGTCGGATTGTTTTAATGCAAGCAATCTGAGATACACCATGAGATAAAGCACAGTACAGGGTTTTTTGTTGGCTTTTGTGTTTTAGGTTGAGTTGACTTTAGTTGCAACCTGAAATAAAACAGGGTGACTGACATACACGAGCCACCCTTCTTCCCATAAGAGTAACACATGGAGGGGAAGGGAACATGTTAATGCACTGCCATTGCAGGCTCACTTTGGCACCTCTATGTAAAATGATTTATCAGCTTAGTAGAAACACAGGGTAGAAATTACAGCTTAACAATGATACACGTAACAAAGCTCTCCTTGGAGCGAAAGGGGGATGGTTATCCCCATAACAGCACAGCCATATCTCCTCTTGGCACCGTAGAATTTGTTGGTTTTGTTGTGGTTTCGTTTTGTTTAGTTTCTCCTTTCTTTAGCAAACGTGTGTCTGCACAGAATGGGTTTGCGTTGTTCTGGCAGTGCTGGACTTGGGCAGCAGGATGGCTTCCTGGAACTCCTTGGTCACAAAGTAGTAGCAGACAGAGTCCAGGCAGCAGTTGGACGTGGCAAAGCACCGCGTCATGGAGGAGAAGTTCCTCAAAAAGTGGTTCAGGGAACAGGTAGTTTCAGTGTGGTTCATTATGAGGCTGGCAATGAGCATGAGGTGGGACGGCAGAAAACATAGAAGAAACACAATCAGATTGGCATAAATGATATAAAGAGCTTTCTGGATTGACTTCTCTTCCAGTGAGTTTGTCTTTAGCTGTCTCTTAAGGTTCCGGATGATTTCTATGGAACAAAAAGTCAAGGTTGCTAATGGAAGGGTGAAAATGAAGAACATGGAAAGCAGCATCAGAGTGGTGGGAGTGCTGGCATCGTACTGAAAGCAGAAGTCAGCATATCTCTTCTGAAGTTTTAAGATGGTTGCAATGGTGACAGCGAGCCACAGGAGCCCACAAAGAAGAGCAGCTTTGGATGGAGACCTGAAGGCCCGAGCTTTCAGGGAGTGCTTTATGCCGAGGTACCGATCAATGGAGATAAATGAAATGACGTAGATGCTCACTACCATGTTGATGAAGTACATTGCCTCTATAAACTGGCAGAGTTCATTTCGGACTGACTTTTTCCAGATCAAATATGCCATGAAAGGCAAGGTGCAGATGACAAAGAAATCAGCAAAGATCAAGTTGATGGCGTACACCCTGGTTTCTGTCCACTTCTTTATTTTGCAGAAGAACACCCACAGGGCAAGGACATTAAAAATTGATCCAAAAAAGAAAGTGATGATATATAGAGCAAATTCAGTGAGATGAACATAGGGATTCACCTCTATGTCTGTGAGACTGCAGTTCTTGGACTCATTCATTGTCCTGATATGTGGATGACGTGATGGTCTGAGACCTGAAATGGGGAAAAATGGTAAGACCCTCCTACCTCTCAGTAAGTGCATGGTTCCTATAAAAAGGTCATTTAAGGAAATATTTACTCTGTTATAAATGTGAATTTGAGTCTACAAGATCGGCTTTCTCAGGCATCCTGTAACTGGGATGGATCTCTGTCTCAAGCTCTGTTTGTATTTACTCAGTTTATGAGTAAATATCTCTGGGAGCACTTCCAATAGGACACAGCAGGCAGCCTCAATTAAATAGGAGCTGTTGAATGAGGGGGGGGGGAAGACATGCAGAAGAGAACACATGGATACCAGGACAACCTGTGATAATGTCAGTACTAATTTTCTAAGCCAGCCTGTGCAGATGAGACAAAATGATTCAGACTTGGTTTTGAGACAGGCAGGGACTGAAGCAGCCAGCACTAAGTATGCATAACCCATGAGCAGAAATTCTTCTAATGAGTCTCCTGGCCCAGGACCTGCTGCTCTTGCTCCGAGCTGAGGAAAACAGAGCAGAATCTGAGTCCTGCATCCCAAAGGCATGACAAAACCCAAAGGGAGTGAGTGAGGCATGCTGCTCTCATCCTCACTGCAGGGAAGGAAGGATTGAACAAACGTTAGATCTGTTCATTCCAGAAGAGAGTAAAAGTCTGCAGACGTAAAGCAGAAAGACTTACCCAAAAGAAGAAGCGGTCCTGCGTGACAAGAAGCTGCAAGTAAGGGCTTAAGTGTTTCCTTCTCAGGGCAAACACCCTGGGAAACCCATGAGACATAAGAGTACGTCCTGAGCCTCTGTCACACTGTCTGCCAGATGCTTCACAGCATTGCTGTTTGTATGAAGATCCGATAAAATCAGCTTTTATCAGGCTCCATCCTATGCAAAGCAACTCTGTGTGTCCTGCACAAGGGGTTTTCTCCAAATCAGTGATGTTGCGGAACTTCTGCTTGCATCTCAGCGCACGTTGGAAAGAATATAATGTTTTATTTTTAAAGCAAGATTTTACCACTCTACTGGGAGAGTGAAATGGTGGCGATTTGGTGAAATCCTCAGAGACGCAGGGAGACAGTGTGACAGCAGCGCCCTGGTTAAGCAGTTATTTGTCCCTGAGAAGAACACAGAGCTTGTGGTCGGATGGTGAGGGTGCTACCTGCAGCATTGGGCTGCAGGCCTGCTAACTGATAAATACCTCAAGTGTGAGGGGGTTAGACAACGTCCTGGACACCAGCAGACATTAATGTGACTCCTACACAGAGCTCTCACAGGATTATTGTATGCTCAAGTCTGGGTTTCCCAACAGAGATTGCTGCTTGCTGCCTGCTAGCTGTCACCCAAGGAAAACCTCTCTGAACCTCAGTAAGTAGCAGCAGGGGAACACCTTCCTCCACAGTGCAGCTGCCATGTTAAGCTTACCACATCTTTGCAGGTGTGGCTGATGCCCAGGTTGCTCTAGGTTGGCTGTGGTGTGCATTGCCAGCACAGCCTCTGTGCTGAAGTACAGCACAGGCAAACCACCAGCGTGCCCTGCAGCGTGAAGGGCTCTGGCTGACGTTGGCTTTGGAGCAGAAGATGTGGTCCCAATGCAGTTCCCAGCAACCTGCCCAGCAGCTCAGGGCTTGCAGGTGTTGCTGGCCAGGAGCTCACAGGCTGCAGGAAGAGGGAGGAAACTAGCAGAGGGTGTGAAAGCAGACACAGATAAAGTATGGGTGAACAGTAAGCTTCCTCAAAGAGATGCTGCACGATAAACTAGCACATCCCCCAGCTGCTGAAAATGCTTAATGTGGATCAGAGGTGGTGAGTTGATGGCTGCAGTACCAGAGCATCTCAGTGCTCCCGCAGGAGCAGGAGCAGGCTGGGGCCAGAGGGGCAACAGCACAGCACTGTGTCCACCACAGACTGCAGCAGGATGGGAAGCTGGGAGGTGGGAACAAGACAAGGACTGGGCACATTTTTCTCCAGTTCTTTCCTGGCCTTGAGCAGGGAGCTTGGAGAAAGCAACGTGAGACAGAGGCTGGGGACACAACAGGTGTCACAGCAGCATGGTGGTGGCCAATACCCGCTGGGGTGACAATGAGAATAGCTTAGTTTCTAGCCACCAATTGCTGTTAGAAAGCAGCCTGCTCTGCTCTTCCTGCAGTAAGCACAGGAAAAGAACATCTCAGCAGTACAGCAGGACCATGTGCAGCAGCATCTGTGCTGAATCAGAGAAGCCAGGCACTGAGCTTCCTCCACCTCCTCCCCACCACAGCAGGCCCCTGAGCATGCAGAGCAAGAGAACAAGACAGGGTGAAGTTACCTGAGGTTATAAAGCCACAGAGTCACAGCAGGTCTCAGCAGCAACCTAGCAGGAGCGGGGCCAGAAGGGCTGTGATCAGGCACACATGATGCACCTGAACTGACAGCTCGCGAGTACTTGAAGGCTTCTATAGTACCTCCTCCTCCTGCGTGAGAAAGGATCTCATGTCTGCTTGTTCTGAAAGATAAGATCATCTGCTGCCTGTAATGCTTTCCATGAGGACTCAGTGCCTCATCACTTGACACTACCTAGAAGTGTGGTCATTGGCTAGCAAGTGTACTCAGTTAATGCAGAGCTAGGCTGCTGTGCTGACAGCCAAGCTGGGCACAGCCAGGAAGGTGCAGCATCTGTTACTGGCTCACTTGAACAGCCGAAGATGCAAGGCCATCCTTATGCAGTCCCGGGCAGTTCAGTGCATGGCACAGGCAATCCCCAGGGTGGAGAACACCTCACAGCCTCTTCAGATGGACGTGGCTCCTCCAAGAGCCCCTTGGGATGTGTTTGTTGCATGGGGCAGTGGTGCAGCAGAAGGTGTCTGCGATGGCAGGGCTCCAGCTGCTCCCCTGCCTTCAGGCTGGCCATGGGCCTGGGGGGCTCTGCCACAGTCTTGGGGTAGAGCTTCACTTGTCAGATCCTGCTCTGGCAGAATTGGATGAAGGACAGGCATCTATAAGCCCAGAGATGGGCTGTCTAACTGGTGTTAGCAATGAGCATGCCTTAGGGCTGGTGGGGAATGGCCTTGCTGCCCACTGACCCTCAGTACCCGACCAGCCCACTGACCCTCAGTACTGTAACACTTCTTTGGTGCAGGGCTGCTGTTGATGGTTGGCTGTTCATAAGAGAGTGCACAAGGTACTTCACTCACTCACAAATTGGGTGCCCTGGAGGTGCAGATCAGGGCACCCAACAGAAGGTCATGGAGATGAAACCCACTCACACTGCTCCACTTACATGGAGACTTACATACCTTGCATTCACCCCATAATAAGCACAGAGATGTGCTGAATGGAAAAAGGCACAGGGGAAGGGAGCAAAAAGTTCCCTGGGGGTTCAGGGTAGCAGTGGGCTTCAGTGTCTGGTAGAAATGATGCAGTGGAAACTATCACAGCAGCATAATTTCCTTTCATGGGAGACTTGTTGATAAGCATGTTTGTGTCCGCAGAAGGTGAGAAACCAGTATGGTAATGAGTCATCCAAGTGAGAGTTGGTTCTGCAGGATCTCAGCCTGGAGCCAGACTGCTCCTTTGGGACTGGGGGTGTTGTGCCCATGGCCCCTGGTGATGGGGCACCCAGTGTTTGCACTGGCAGTGCAGCAAGTTAAGCTGTTATAAGGAGTCTTATGAGACACAGGACACAGCCACGTTGCCACATATGCACTTCTACATGCAGACCCTGCTGTTTCAGTTAGCAGTAGAATGATGACACCAGGCTGAAAGGAGCAGTTTGCCGTAGCTGTGCTCACCATCCACCAGGCCCAAAGAGGTCTCCTCTCCAGCCAGGTGAGCACAAGTGCTCTGCTTTCTCCTGCTGCCCGTGTCTGTGGAAAAAGCAAAGCCTTCAGCCTCGGCTGTCTCCACGCTGATGGTGCCCACACTCACCCCGATGTGTGTGCTCAGACCATGCAAAGTGGGACAGGAAGGGCAGTGACTCACAGGTTGCACAGCTGTCACCCACCAACACATGGCTGTGGCTGTCTCACTACATTGTGGGGAGCTCTTGCAGGATGAGGAGCTCTCACGGTGTGGGCACGCGTCCTGTCCACAGGTCTCCCTGTGGGGCCCTGAAGGCCATTTTGGGGAGAAGCCCTGTCCATCATGAGGCACAGTGCAGTGGAGGGACAGCCTGCACCTGGGATCAGTGACCCACTGCGGCCACATGGCAGCCCTGCTGCTGGGGAGAACTGCTCTGAGCTGAGGAGAACAGAGAGCTGCTCCCCTGGGAGCCCAGAAAAGGAGCGAGCATGCAAACATGCTGATCAACACGCTGAGGTCACTGAGCCTAGAATGACTTTGAGTTTTCTACTGAAAACATCATTGACTTTTTTCAACTTAAACTAGTAGAAAAACCAGTGCAGGCAGTTGATCAATAATGTGGTCAATGTTATGTACTTTGCAGTCACAGAACTGCTCTGCCCTGTGCTCCCATCCATGGAGGGAGGGGTAGCAGAAATGCGGTCATGGCCTGAAGCAGTGATTGAGCACCTGGTGGAAGGCAGGGCCAACCCAGGGGAGCTTAGGTGCATGCAATGTATCTGAGTAATTGGAAGGGATGGAGCCGGGATCCAGCCCTTCCCAGACCTCATTTAAGGGCTGGTAGAGGAGGTGAGGGTATCTTGCTGGTGTTCCTTTCTACCTGAAGTCTTCTAAAGGTAAGCTGTTCTTTTGTTTCTGCATTTGCAGCTGTTCTTATTTGTTCTGCATTTGGACTGGTTCTTATTTGTTGTAGTCTCAAATTGTGCCACCCTGCTATTATTGCTGTATTTTCCATCACATTATAGCATTACAGCACGCAGTGGGTCTGCTGGGTTGGTTGCCAAACAAGAGGCTTCAGTCTCAGCTGCTACAAATTCACAGCAATGAGACTTTTCCCTGCAGGGGCTCTGGTCCTTTGAGGGCACCCAAAAAGGCCCTACATGTTTCCTATCCCTATAGCTGTAGATTACAACTTGGACTATAGTACTATAGCCATCGTCTGTCAAGAGGACAGTGATGTGGGACAAGGCTTTTGCCTACTGAATCCCAGGTGAGCTTTACTAGGAGTAGTCTGCCTGCTCTGAGATATGGATGACTTTGTTACAAGAAATAAAATCAGAAAAATCCAATCTCTTTTTCTTTAAAGATCTCCTCAGCTCTTTGCACTTTCTTCAGCCTCCTACCACATCCCTGGATGGAAGGATGCTAGCACAGATTACATCTGTTTTTGTGTTGATAAAATAGAGTGCGCTATGCATGACTACGTGGTGTGGTTTTGGTTGTGGTGTGAAACAGGAGGAATACCTACGTGCAATGATGTCAAACTTCATGTGACACACTGAGTGACCTTTGATTGTACCACCTTTAAGAAGGCAGCAAAGCAAACGCCCTCAGCCTTATTTATATTCCTTCCCACATTTCAACCGTGAAGATCTCAGTCCTGTATTTATAATCCAGAAGGCTACGTTGTGGTACAATCATTTGGATGTAAAAGGACTTTGTCATTGGCTGGTGTCATCACCCAGCCCTGGCAACAGATATCTTTTTCCCTCCTGTACGTGCTAGTAAGCATTCAATACAATCAAACTCTGCAGTTGGAATAAGTGGATTCAAAGCAACTGGTGCTGCCCTCAGCCCACTGGGTGGTGTGTGCATTGTGAAGTGTAATATGTCAGCAGTCAGACTGAGTTGTTCATGTCTGTCCTGTTTTCCACCACAGGGAAGCATGCATTTAAGTATCTACTGTTCTTTTTTTCTGGAGCTGCACTGAGTGCACGCATAGTGAGCACAACAGAATAGCAGAGAGCATGGATGAGGCAGAAAGGCAGAGCCTCTGGGAGAGAGGCACATGTGCACTCTGCATGGGCACAGCGTGGGGA